TCCTTTTTTAGTAGTCCTGATTTAACCTCTTTACTTGTTTATTATGTGTTCCTGTTGCAAGCCGTGTACTATCTTACGTTTGTTTTAGCATATTTTTCGAAGCAACGAGATTCAATTCATTTAACAAATTGTCATTTAGGTTTAAATTTCGGAGTTGGAACATTGTTTACAAGGTAAGAAGTGTTTTATAACAATTATTTTTGTCAAATACAGATTCTTATGTCTTCAAATGACAGGTCTTCATATGACGATTGTTATAACGATTCTTTTTTAAACTCAAATAATAAATCGGGTTACAAATACACGCATACAAGAAATACTACTCAAGAGAGTTTCAAAACACAATGATCACGTTGTGAGCAAAATGGCTTCAAAATACGTCGGAAACAGTAACCTTGAAGTATAGGCAGTAAAGAGTGCATTCTAGTGTAGAAAATACCAACCATTGGTTCTGATGATTTTGATTCCACTGTTTTCTCGAGCCGCTGTGGCACTGGGGAGTTCACTTTCTAATGAGGTGACACAGTGTTGAATTCCAGCGATGGCTGGTTGATACGAATTCTACTTCCGGCTCATGCCAACCATAGTGCAGACATAAAATATCCTTAGCAGTAAACGGATCATGGGATAGAATCCCCTCGCTGTCGGACTAATCATGATAGCTTTCGTTGTTTTCCTCTCCATATAACGAATATGCGGGTTAGATCCATTAAAAAGTTCTCTACGAAGGCTAGTTTGTCTCAATCCAGGAGTTCCTTTGACTTATGGGTTGGGTTCAAAATTACAAAGCTACGAAGTTGAACATAAATAGTCGTTAACTCATATTAAGGTCGGCTGTTCAACGCTGCTCATAAAAAAATAGCAATTCCTCATGCTTTCATAACGTGTTATTCCGTTTTTTTTAATCCTTACTAAGAAATAAATTTTTGACACCTAACACGTATATATGGGTGATTCAAATGTTTGCATAAAGCTTCTAAAATGTTTATTAAAGTCTGTCATTGCCGAGTATAGATGCAGGAGGGCTCAAAAATTATATTGTTTGACATGACCGGGGCATGTACACATTACAATCGTTTTTTCCCCTTGCAGCTAGGCGTGTAAACATTTAATGAGATATAAAATACCGAACCCACCCTCGCAAATTTTGACAGATATTGCCAAGACTATTGATGAAGTGGACAAACGGTACTTGGTTGTAAATTATAATGCCGTGTTCATTACCATGATGCTTAAAACAACCAATGAGCAACGTAAAACAATTTTATCAATATTTGTGCTCAATATTTCATAAATAAAAGTGTTGTAGTCGACATAATGTTGCTAATGTTATTTTTTCGTCAAATTAATAATAAGTACATTCATATGTATTCGAAAGTGATGGTCGGACATGTATTTTGTCATGTCGGACATGTATACATATCCCCCACAGGATATATAAATAGTATAGAGATTTCTTTGAGCTCTGTATTATTGCATATTGATGCAATTAATTAATGGATAATGAAAATATATGACCTAACTAGTACCGTGAATTACCGTAAGAGATGGAGTTAAATATTTGGGTCACGCTATTTTTAAAATATTTTTCATATGAGAAGCAACAAAATTATATTACGCTTAAAGGGAAGGAAAGGGGCTCTTGAAATTGTGATATTTTTTCGACAGGGAGATAAGGGTAAAAAAAAAAGTGAGCCAACACAATAATTTCCATTAGAATAAAAACATTAAAATCAGATTATTTTGAAATAACTAATTTTCATAGTTTTTTCATTATATTAAAAAAAGTAGATTACAGTCACTATTATTGTTATGCTCGGTATGTTACTGATGCTTATCATGTCATTTAAACATAGAAGTTTAAAAACGATATTTGGAACATGATCAATAACATTTATGAACTGCAAAATTATTTTAATGTTATACAGTTTTTATTTTATAACCGCCGTTTTGAACAGCCTAATTTTGAGTTTACGACTACCAGTGTTCAACTCCGTAGCCTTGTAATCTGGAACCCATTTCTGAAGACAAGGGAACTCTTGGATCAATATTTTTACTATGTTTTTTTGATTATTATTTTTTACTAAAATTTCGAAATTTTTTGCAAGCATTTTAATATATACACATATTTTACAAATTCATTTTGTTTTAAAAAAATCTATTACCGCATTACCGCCACTGCATTTTTCAAAGTTTTCAAAAATGTTAACTACTTTTTTATGCATTGCATTCTAAATTATTTTTTTTACAGCTTTACATATATTTTGAATATATATGGGTCATTCTCACGAAAACTGTCATTTTTCAGTTCATAAAATCCCAAAAAAGTAAAGTGAATAAAAAGCTCTGAAACTTTTTATATTAATAGAAATATGCAATGACATTATAAAGAAAGTATATATCCTATAAATTATACTTAATATTTAAATTAATTAATTTTTTAAATAATTAATTTATAATTAATTAATTTATAATAATTAATAATTAATTAATTAATTTAATAAATAAATTAATTAATTTAATAAATTAATTTATTAATTTTTTAATTTATTTTTCAAATTAATTAATAAGTAAATTAATTATTTTCACTATTTAAAAAGTGAGGGAATGACACTAATAGTGAGGGAATGATATTTTATTTTAATACATGTTTTTATCTAAGTTACATCTACCTAAAGTTTGAAAATGATAACATACTAAGTATATCTAATATTTATTATAATTTAGTCTTATATATTTAATAGTTTTTACAGGTTTGGGAAATAAAATTGGCTGGCACGATTGAACAAAAAAAAATTTAATAATATACTCATCTTGAATCATTCCCTCACTTCAGCGTCATTCCCTCACTTTATACACTAGTGAGGGAATGACGAATTCAATAAAATTTAAAAATAACAGTTAGGCCTAATTAATTTCTGAAGTCAATCACATACAATTATATTCATACAAGAAAGCAACATATAATTATCCACTTTCTCGATGAAGTTGTATTTTATTTTACTCTAAAAAATGACATGAGGGAATGACAAATGTAAAAAATTTTACCTGGTTTGATTCATTCAAATTTATTCCACAGCAAAGCTTCTTTAAGTTGAAGATGGAAACATACTGCAATTTTGTTCTATGATGCCAGTTGTTAACTTCTGAAGTTTTTATTAAAATATTTTTATTCTAAGAAGATTGCAGGTGATAAGAACATTGTTGTGAGGGAATGACGCGAAACACTGGGGACAAAGTTTAAAATAGTGCTGTGTTAATATTTTTATCAGAAATTAAATTTAAAATTGATTTTCTGAATTCTATATTTCAGTATTCTGAAATAAAAAACACGAATTTGTAAAAAAAAAAATTTTATTTCAGAAACAATTTTTTTCTTTTTTTAAATCAGCAGTGGGGACAAGTGAGGGAATGACATATTGGTATATTTTAATTACCTAAAATAAATATAAAATAAAAATTGATAATTTTATTTTTATTCTTTTGTTAGCTTGCATTCTGAAGTACATTTTCCCTGAATTTTTTTTCTTCGTAAGCTGTAAAACAAACTTAAAATATGCTGGGGACATGAAAATGACTGTTTTTGTGAGAATGACCCATATATATATTCAAAATTATTTTTTCTGTAGATGATTATTCTATTTTTTATTTACTTACTTTCTATACTATATTTTATTTATTTACTTAAACTACACTTTAACTTTTATTATCCATCATTATTCAGCACTATTATTTTTTTTTATAAACCGAATTCAAAAGTTTTCAAACTGAACGACTCATATAAAGTAGCTTAGAACTCACAGTAAAAGTTTTAAGATGATTGGTTTAAAATAAAGTAATTGACATTAAAATAAAGAAAAACATTTCCGATCCACCGGCGATGCTGTTTAGTAATTTTAATTTACGAATTTTTTTTTTCGTATGTTAAGAGCATATTAAATTTAATTCAATTTTCTTTACTCTTTTTAAGCTACAAAAGAAATTCATTTTTGACCTTCAAAAGTTGACGCAGGAAAAAGTAAAACACTTTTTCTTATGGCACTATCAGTTTAAGTTGGAAAATAGATTCAAATCGCTTTTCCTCTAGATTCAAAGATTAACTATCGCATTTTAAATTAAAACTATTTTAGTATCTACTATTTTATTAATTTCTATTTTTAAAAGTGAAAAGAATTATGGTGTTTAATTTCTCAGTGAGAATCGCTAAGTACAAGTTTTTATTGATCTCGCTGAACACAATCTGACTATAAATTATACTACAAGTTATGAAGTTATAGAAATAAAATATACTTTTTAAATTAAAACAAAATTCTGAAATAGTATCTACCGTAAAAGTAGAGGTAGGAAAGTTAGAGCGATTATAACTATGTAATTATATAGTATTTCGCTAGCGTTTTCGTACATTTACTTTTCATGTTTTCGCAAAACTTCTTTACGAACTGTTATTAACAAAGTAGTTTTTTAATACATTTTGCAAACATATTTGTGCTTTGTTCATAACTAGAAAGTGTTTTAATATAAATGAGAAATGAGTGAATGTATTTTAATTTTAAAAATTTTGCTGACAAATAATCTTATTTAATTGGCTTAAAATAACAGAAAAAAAAACGTTAAAAATTAAAATGCGTACACATTTGACAGAAAATTATTTATTTTTTTAAGTAACTATGTGTAAAATTAGAAGAAAAGGTAGCTTGCATTCAATATAAATAAATTTGGCTGACAACAATTTAAAATTATTTCGGTCTATTAAAAAGAATATTAACAGTAAACAAAAATAATATTTGTTAGGATTAAAAAAAAAATATGCATTTTTGTTTCGATTAACTGAAATTTTAAGAATTACCATTACTGGTTAAAGAAGGTTGCATTTAACATTGTCAATTTGTAAAATTTTTCTTTTGAGATAAATAGAAAACAAGTCCACCCCTCTAAACTTATGCTGTTACAATGTTGTTAATTGGTTTATTTTTTTAAAAAAATAAAAAATAAAATCTTACCCCTTGATCTTCAAGTTCAGGTATTCCAGAAGGTTGAATACATTCATAATTAGATTCTGGTTTCATGTCTTGGGTTGGTGACATAGCATCGGAATAAAAACTCCCGTAATCACTGGACACACTGTTTCGAAGGGACAGGTCGTCGGCACTAGCAGTAAAAGAAGATAGTGATCCAGAATGCAAAGAATCGAATCCTGGATTTACGGTCACTGACTTGTTTTCCAAGTCCATAGGATGAATAATTTCTAATTTAGCTCGAGGTCTGTCATAGTGTTCGTTATATTTCCAAGCTTTTGGGTTTGGGCAGCTAGAGTCAAAAGCTGCATTATTTTCAGTGCCATCTTTGCGTATTTTCAGTAGTTTCTTGATGGAAAACTTTTTTCGGGATTTGGCGCTATCTTCTGCATATCCCATAGCCAACATTTTGCATTTGGAATACTGCGCCAAAAGAAAGGAACTTTTAGATTTGGAGTGTTTACGTTTTTCTTCAATGTCCCCGTTAAGATTCCAGGATGCATAGCCTGTTTCTGTGTCTTGCGAAGACGTTGACGCAGTTGATGAAGACGAGGAAAAAGTCATGGCCTCTCCTCTGTAACTTGAAAATCCTAGAGGGTTGTCTGAAGGAGATATACGTCCAGTTGAACTAGGAGGATCTTCTAATGGTGGGTCTGGTATCTTTGGTGGTGCTGGTGCTTGTCTTTTGGTGTTATTACCGGGATGCCTGACTTGTTCTAGTTCAATCGCAAGAGCTGCCAACTTAGATTCTCTTTTAGGTTGTGGGTTTTCGGTATTCCCACCGACCTGATTTCTTGACTCTGCGTCCAGCATAACTTCATGATAGATATTACTCTCAGCATAATGGTCAACAAGAGTGATTGAACTTGGACCATGTAGACTCGAATCATTGGCTGTAGAATAATATAAACTGTTTTGGCTGATGCTACTTTCAGATTTTCGCCTCTCCGACCTCAAAGGTTTTATATCCGCTGTTGGTTTTGCGTAGTGACCAGGTTCAATTTGTATTGACGATCGTTCGATTGTACAGCGTTTAGAAGGTTTAGCTGGAATTCTCGGCTTAAATTTGCTTGATACCGAAGAATCAGTTTCGTAATCCGTTAGCGTTTGTTTTGAAGAAGGTACTACATTTAAGAGTTCTTCGCTAGCACTTCTCACAACACGTTTGTGGGTATTTTTCCCATTAATGGTCACACTTATTGAATGGGAAACTTCTGCTCTGTTGCATTCATCAGATGATGACGACGACGAGGAATTACTTCTGGATACAAACAAATCAGAAGCTGGGCCATAAATGGCTTTGCAGTTTGATACTCGACCATGAAGGAAAGATGGTCTTGGCTCTACATTGCCTAGCGTCTTCTCACTCACAGCGTTTACTTTTTTGCTTGAGCTATCACTAACTGTTATTGTAACACTTTCACAATTAGCAGGTTTTATTTCGAAGTTATCCTTATCGGCACCATCGTTAACTGGAAATTCTTTTCCATTTTCTTCAGCAGAGTTCGATGCATTCGATTCTTGATCCGAGTTCATTTTATGACGATTTGTCAGGGAAGTATTGATAGCTTGTAATATTTGTCCGGCGATTTCATTGTTATCTCGCTGCCATTCGCCGTTTTCGTGTGAATTATTTTCTCCTTCAACTTTATGAACATCGTCACCATCGGAAAGCATCACAGAATTTTCCGATGTTTTTACTTCGCTGTCACCTTCTCCGCTTCTGCTTGTAATAGGCGGAGGTGGTGAAGCTTCAGTTTCTCCCAACTCCGAGTTATTTTCGTTCTCCTCTTCTCTCAAGGCGGTGAGTTTCTTAGCGGTGTCAACCACTACGATCTCCTTCGACGTCACCGTATCTCGCTCGCAATTCTTTATGGCGACGTTTATAGATTCTTTGTTTTCGGTGCGGCTGTCCCGTTCATTAATCACTTCCCAATCCTTGACCTCCGAATCCGATGAGGAACCATTTTCTTTTGACATTTCAATTTGATTCGAAATCACTTCTTGGCGATTCACAACAGGAACTTCCTTCTCATTAGCAGCTTCTCTGCCAAGATTAGATTGTGCCAAAGACGCGTTTTCATTTCCGCTCTTGGAATCACCCTTAGTTTCGTTTTTAATGTTTTTCGGAGAAGTAGACTTACTGGCTCCGTCAACAGTTGTATTTGCGGCTGTTACCGTCTTTTCAGCGTCTTTTATTTGTTGTTGTTGGATCAATAAATTCGCATTATCCGAATTGAATTCGGTATTTAGTTTCGTTATTTTAGAGAACGCTTTGTCATCCTCCGTTTCGTCCAAGCTATCTGTTCCAGTTTCGTTTTCTCCGTCTGAGCAGTTCATTTCCCATTCTAATTCCTCAGGACTAAAATCCCTCCCACCATAACCGATCACAAGTGGTTCCTCGTCTTTAAAACCGACATTACTGCTGCGTCTTGGCTGGGGATTGTTTACTTCGGGTATTGGAATTTTCTTCTTTAATATGCCCTGGAGAGGACTAGGTTGGTCTTCACTCTTATCGTTCATTATTTGTTGTGGTGCGTTCTTTTGTACAGGTGATGGAGGTTTTGAAGTCGAATCATCAGGTGCTTCTTTGCGGAATTGATTTTGATTCCTTCCATTTTTACTCTCGATTTCACTCAGCATGTTTTTGACACCATTAAACTGCATTTTATTGACATCTCTAACAGCTTCACCGTTTTGAGTTCCATTTACAGATTCGCCATTTGTTTGCGGCTTTGTACCGTTGCTAACATTCGAATTAATAGTTTTAGACTGAGAGAAAGTAGTTTTCGCAGGAGATTCGATTTGACTACCATTTGTGCTATGACCATTTTTCAAGTTGCAGTCATTGGTTGGTTTCTTTTCGTTTGGGTGGGTAGCTTTATTGATTGTTAAAAGCCTACCCTGAAAACCATTTTCCAATTTGAATGGTTGTGAATTCTTTTGGTTCCGTTCAGATATAAGCGACTTCCAGGTGGTGTGAGGAGTACCATTGCTGTTTGACGAATAAAGGTTCGCTGTGTGAGACCTCCCATTTAAACTCTCATTTTGATGAGATATTGGACCATTGCTGTCGCCGCTTACATCATGATCTCCAACCGATTTGAAGCAATTCGAACAGAGATCTTTCTTCCACGCGTTTTGAACGAAATTCTGACAAATAACGGACATTTTGAGACGTTACTCTTTACCCAATGTGCAGGACATTCTCCTGAAACAAAAAAATAAAAAGCATGAATAAAATGTTGAAGAGTGAAGTAAAATATTGTATGAAAACTCCTGTTATAATCAGTTCATATAAATAAATGTTAAAAGATTTTTAGAAATATAATAGCTGAACAATTTGCTGCAGAAAAAACTCATGATAGAGTCTACATCTAATAATATGTTCATTTATTTAGCCACACACAATTTCAGCCATAGGTGATTAAATTTCAAAACACTTCACTTGAAAATATGGTTCAACTTAGCATCATATTAAGGCATGTAACTTAAAAGTGTTATGGTTCCAAATTTTTTACAGTTTATACGTAGTATGTTCTTAAACAGACTGACGGTGTTTAAAAATTTACAACATGAAAACAGTTGAGGTTAAAAAAAATTTTTTTGCAGCAGATTTATCTGCCCTCCCGAATTCCTGGTTTTGAAAATTTTTTTTTACTTTAGTTAATCCTATAAGTTCCTATTACCAGTTTTTCGTTGTATTTTGATGCATAAAAATTTAACTCTCGGATTGCAACACTCGAATGTATTTGATAGTAGATATTTTGAAAATATCTTAGCGATTTTCAATCATTGAAAGATTTCATAAAATTCTAATGTGACCTACACTTTTTCTTTATTTTATTTATGGGTTTACTGTTTGCAACACCATTTGTTGATAAAAAAAATGCTGAACTAAAAGCAGTAACTATGGGAAGAAAATTTTATGCTTTGCCAAATAAATTTGCAGCAATATTATTTCTTTTTAAAATTCTCAACTGGTTTTCTTTTATAATTTTTAAAAATCTGCAAAACACCATATACAGTTTGGGAGAAAAAAAACCCGCATTACCCTGAATAATTTTTGATCCAATGATCAAGATCTTCAAGTTTTAGGACTCGATCACTAATAGTTCAAGGGGGTAACCTTAAATAGGCTAAATAATTAGTTCAAACGATGTTTTAAGTTACAAGATCAGACAAAAACTCACTTTATCTGAATAAACATACCTTTTTTGGCATAGTTCTGGAAAAATCGGTTTCAAAAAAATTCATGTGTTTAAAATTTGATACAATAAGATTCGGAACTGTAAAACCGATTTCACTAAAATTTCATGTTTTCCCATGTAAAATCACATTTTTAAAAATGATGCACGAAAATTGTATACCTCACAATTTAAAACTTTTTGCCCGATTGTTAAATAAAAAAAAAAATTATTTTCTAAAAAGTTATTTTTTGCATGGTATTATCTTTGGTAACGGTTTTTACAATTGCGTGTTAAAAATTTCCATTCGCTTCATTAATTCGATACATGACGAAATACGCCAAAAGTAAAATTAACACTGAGGGGTTTAAGGTTTATTCCGTTTTCCTGATCAAATCATTGGGACTATGTTTCGTAGATTGTGGCTATCCTTTATGTTTTGGGATTGGAAATCCAACCCGTCGACAAAAAGGCATGTTTATTCATAGAAAGTATGTTTTTGTGTTTGATATAACTTAAAATATTTTCTGCACTAATTACTTAGCATATTTGAGGTCACACCCTCGAACCATTAAGTTTGAGTCCTAGAATGTGAAGAGCCAATCATTAGATCAAAAGTTATTCAGGGTGGTAAATTTTTTTTTTGCGTACTGCACGTATACAAAAGAGTACTATTATATTTCTTTTCATAGAATATGGCTCGTATAAGAGGACTTGAGTTGCTTTTTGACATGAAACGGATAACTATGAGGTCGAAGGCTGACTGTTTAGTTGCAGCGATGCATTGCATGTTAGTAAACGAAAATCTGCAATGTGTTGGAACTGGTGAGGAGTTCGACGCTACTCAAGACAGCACTCTCGGTTCAGAACTCTTGCCGGACAGATGGAATGAAAATCAAGAAGAATATACCTTACGGTACACAAGTCGTCGCAGTAAAAATCGGTATCTCATGAAAGCTGTTCTATCAGGAAACATTCTGAATGTCACTGTAATCGTCAACGAACGTAACAACTATCAAATTTCCCTTGACGTCAACCAGTTTGTCACGGATAACTATAAGGAATACAAAACTGCTTATGCAAACCTCGAAGAACTGACACATCTTTTTGACGCAGAAATTGTGGAGAAGATTCGAAAAGATTTTCCAACCGTACACATTGATGAGACAGTAGAGGAAATTCCCAGAAGTCCAGGTCCATCGAATATTCGCGGAAAAAAATATTCTGAAGTTATAAAATTCGAAGATATAGATCCACCCCCGTTTCCCTTACTCAATCCAAAAGATCGGCGTCCAACAGGATATCCAAGAATCGGGGGGAAGGATCTAGATCCAACTGGTAGAGGACAAGGTACTATGCATTTTGATCACTCAGACCATGATCCAACATCTTCATTTCCCAGGGAAGATGATCCAAATAAGCCTTTGAATGTTCCTCCTGGAGCTAGATATGATCCGATAGGGCCTATTACTAAATCTGGCAAGAAAAAACCTGAACCCGATGATTATAAGCCTCCCAAAGGTGACGATGATTCAAGTCTGATGTGAACTGCATTCATTTGATCGGTTTTAAATAAAATTGAAAACATTTCTTGCAGTAATACTTAATAAATAGTTTAAAAATATTATACAAATTACTTATAACTTTCCAAAGGTGGAAATATAGTTCGTAATAAACTGTATTCGTAAATTCGTTTAAAAAAATTAACTGAACCCTGAAAGAATATTAGGAATAGTACAAGTTTTTCAAAGAGGGTGATAATTTAACGCAAACAGCATTTGTAAATTAAGTTTTTTTCAATTTTTTTTTAATTCTTCAAGTCAGTCAAGTTTAAATGTCACCCATATTTTACAAAATTACAATTATGTATTTTGTCATTAAGTACTTTCTGTAAATAAAAATAGGTTTTAACTGACTTATTTCATTTTTTCTCACATTTATCGTACCTTTTTTATTTTTAATAATGATTTCCCTACTGCAATAATTTTTCATTTGAACTTCATGAAATAAAGACAATCTAATGCACAATTTTAAATGAAAAATATTTATTAGTTTTTAACTGTTTATCAGATTTTAATTTTAATGGAATTCTGTACATAACGTAGTTAGCTTTATGACATATGGGTAACTATGATTGACTGAGAGAAAAAATTTGACTGAAAGAAATTAGACAAAAAATTTCCTCATAGACTTTACATGGAATGATCGACAAGGTATGTAATTACAAAATATTGAAGATAGGCACGTATTTTTTCCTTGTTTTTAAAATTAATTTCAATTATTAAAACTGTCTATTATACGCAAAAATGTTATCTTTTCTTTAATAATTAGCGTTTAATAGCTATGATAGCTATACTTGGTTATTTTAGCAAGTTAATTATGCAATTCTGTTCCAATAAAAAAAAATTTTGATGAAACAAATTTCCTTGCAAAGTTATTTCAAGCAGAAAATTTCTTAAGCAAACTAAATATAAAGTTGTACTTTTATATTTTAAGAGTTGAATCAAGTAATCAATGATTTATATCATTCCAGTGTAGCTTGGCGTGGCCTTTGGCCGGATAAACGAAACTAAACGAAACTTACATTTATCATGACGCAGAATTAGGAAGCAAGTTCGAGAGAAACTTCGCCAGTAAAAATGTTTCCGGAAAATTTTGTGTTCGCCACTAAAAGCAAATTTATTACTGGGCACTCTTTTTTTCTCTCTCTAGTGTCCCTTTTAAATAAATATGAAAAGATGAATCAAACGCCATACTCTCCTGACAAATCTCTTACAGAATGTTTGTTCTCGAATCTGAGAAAATTGCTTAATTAACTAGGTTTAAGGATTAAATTTTCGACGCAGAATTTTTGTTAAACATATTTATACTTTTTTCATCATTTTGTATTTATTTAGGCCAAAATAAGTGAAAAATATTGCATTTAGCATTTTAATAATTTATGGTTACAAAATGCAGCATGAAACACAGGTCTTTTTCTGCGGTAAAATCTTCCATACACTTGCAAACAATAACTTTTTAAATTTAATTTTATTTGAAGTTGTTTAGATATAAGAGAAATAGTCATTCATTATTGAAATTTCTTTAATTTACAAAATCAACCATTGATATATTTTTAATTATAAATGAAAAAAAAATTTTTTTTTTCGAACGACTTTTTTTTTGGAATTTATATTTTAGTACAAAAATAAGTCCGATAATCTAACATATTTTATGGTAACTATTAGACTGTTTTTTATAATTAAAAAACTACCAAAATATATTTTTGCTTCTAATTAGAGCGTCAGAAAAAATATATGTATATGTCACGGCGAAACACCGAAATCGGTGGTTGTTGACTTTCACCGGTGAATGTCGACAAACACCAAATACGTCGGTGAAAGATCGAATATTTCATTACATTCTTGTACATTCGGACCCTCACCGGTGTATGTCGACAATCACAGATATGATTTGGTGAATGTACGAAATATTTATTACATTCGATTTGATAGGAATTTATTCGTGGATATAATTACATTTATTTGATATTTTAACCCTACACTGATGCTTTTTTAAGGTCAAGTGCCATTGCTCGGTATATATTTGCCCGATACTCCAAACACTGATGTTTCTTCTAATCTATCATCAGTAAGTATTAAAATATAGAATAAATATAAATATATCAAATAAGTATAATAATATTAACGAATAAATTAATATAAAATTGGATATAACAAATATTTCGGACATTCACCAGCGTGACTATGTGATTGTTGACATTCACCGGTGAGAGTCAGAAATAAGGGTATTTAGCAAATATTTCGGACATATATCAAGCGACTACGTGAATGTAGACATTCACCGGTGAATGTCGACATTTTCCAGATTTCAGTGTTTCACCGTAACATGTATAAAAGGTACACCGGTATACCATCTGCTTCAGAGGATTAAGAATGCCACTTTAAGAGTAATCCGAAAGAGTCATAAACTAAACAAAACTTTTTCTGCAGACAACACAAATGCGCTACGTGGAAGTTATTTTGAAACATATTAAATGGTTTAGTAACTAACATGAAATTTTCATAAGTTATTAAATCAGTCTTTGATACTAGTAGCGGCATCTTCCAATCAACTTTATACATTTGTATTATTTCTAAATGCTTTCACTGTTCAAATTTCTGGCGTAGGTGTGTGGGAAATAAGAAAGAACAAAGTAAGCAGCAGGTGTCTCACGCTTTGTGTCTAAGCCAAAAATCATAGGTGTTTGTTTAACCGCCATAACGGGAACAGATCCAGCCAATCTTACGAAACGGTGCCAAGAGCAGTAGTTTTTCTAAACAATCCGTCTCCAAATTAGCATACTCACATGATATAAATGATTGCGCAAATGTAAAAGCAATATCGCGATTTTGGAAAAATAATATTTTTAGTTCCCTTTCTATAAATAAAGATGTTAAAATTACACAACTCAGATAAAAAAGAATGCATTGATTTACGTAGCTATTTTATTTCTTAGCTTTATTCAAGGCTTTAAGTTTGAAATCTTACTACCACTGGAAGGTTTTTTTTGATCATTTTCAGGTAAAAATATTGTAAACAAAAATTTCGTCAAAAAATGTTCTAGTCGCTGTCGTGAAGGTCTTAGTCAACCCTCAAGCACAACCCTAAAATATTAATTTATAATAGCCTTAATCTTAAATATTAATTTATAATTGCATGTAAATATTTTCACCACCACTTGAAATTCTTTTTAAAACATTATTATTAAGAGGCTCTGCCTTATACTGGCGTCGTTCACCAACTTTAGCGATAAATGTAATATATTGTTTGTATCTTATTAACAGATAGTTACATCAAAATTAAAATGTATTCAATTAAAATATCCCAAAACGTTTTATAGTATTAGACGCAAATTTGGTGTTGCAAATTTAAACCTAAAGATTTTTCTTGGTAACCATTGCAACTTCATCTAAAATTTTGTTTTTGAAATTTCTATTTAACTTACGATTTCTTAAAAATATGTAAGGCGTTTTTTTCACTAAAGAAATTATTTAGTAATAGTGAGGAAAGTTGGTTTCTAATTATGTTTTTCTTAATATATTTATCATTTTAATTGCAAATGTTGACTGGGCATAGTTTGAAAAAAAGTTTTTAACCGGTTTATTTTTATTTACCGGAAAATCATAGGGTAGAATTAATTTCCATATTTTTTTGGTTGTCATCAGCATAAAAAATTCCTAAGAATAGATGTAAAAGCCAGAGGTTGAACTATATCAATCAGTGGAATAAATCAATTGTCGTAATTTTGTGGTTGTAAGTGGCAACTAGTTGTTTGCACTATTCCTATTGGACTATTCGTATTCAAATCCAAATAAAAACGCATTCCAATTGGTTGGACTCTTTAACTGCTTGATCATTGATGGATTTTTGGTGTGACAGGTAAATGAAGTGACGTCTTTAGACATTTCTATAGCATGCAAAATACTTTTGCATCCCGAATTTAAAGGCAATATTCATTTCTCTGACTTTATTCTGCTATTATTACGCTTTGATTGTCTTCTAAATTAAAAGTTTTAAACTAAAAGAGTTGTTACTTTAAGGTAATATTTTATTACGCTACATATTAAGATAAACTTACTTAAATTTGTGTTTAAACTTATTAACCGTTTTACAATTATTATTTTTTTGGTGTAAATTGCATTAATATGCTATTTCAATTACTGTTAAAATGTCTAGTTAAATGATTCAAAAACTTAACGATTAGCTTTCATGCACGATGTAATGCGTGCACAAATTGTCTTTAATATATCAGCCTGTGCGCTAAACGAACACATTTAATTACGGTTGCGAATTCAAATTTGTTCTAACCTTTAGCTTTAATTTACTTTAACTGTTATTTTTACATAACCTATAATTTTAACTGTTACTTTTTTTTAAATAAAAAGATGATTACTAAGCAGAATTATTGATGTCCACTAGAATCTAGTCCACTAGGTCTTAGAATCATAAGGGAAATTGAATCATACGAGAAAATCTATGCTTTTTACCAATCGAATTAGATTCAAAATAAACATTTAATTTAATGAAATGATTGGCCGTAGAAAGTGGGGGTGCAAGCGTAAGCTCACAGAATTCTTTATAATACATCTAAGTTAATAATTTCTACTTTCGTAGAAAAAAACTGTTTTATGCTGAGAAATAATTCTTGCAAGCAATCATTGGGGTTGGTGAGCGATAGCGAATACTGTATTTACTGTTTAATAATTGTGAGGCAGTTAATAAGTTTAGAAGTCGATTTAAATATGGTTATTACAAAATGTTGCGTAATAAAGTAATACTATAAGATTACTTTATGATAAAGTATTATAGTTTTAAGCCCTTAATTTGGAGTAATCAGAATTAAGAACGTAATAATAATAGAGAATACTAAGAATGGATAATAAATAAATGTTAATATCGATTTAGAGTAAAGCTAATTTGAAGGACGACAAATGGATAAGCAGAAAAAATAACATTACATGGATAACAGTATTAAAAACCCTAAAATTCAGAAGTTTTAAGTTATTTTATTTTGCCCGCGTTGATGCGTATTGATTTTTAATGCTAAACATCTTAGTCTCGTAATTTTGAGCCAAGTCCAGAAGACAAGGAAATTCCTGCTAACATTAGGAACAAACTAACTTTTGCGAATGACTTTTTGATTGAAAATAACTCACATTTGCACTATATGTAGAAGAAAACCTAATGGTTAGCCAGTGACAAGAGAGCTTTAACTCGTGATCCGTTTACCGGTGGGGGGTACTTTGCTTCGGCAAGTTATTCCATGGTAAAAAGTTCGATAGAATGCCAGTTAAATAACATGAAAGTTACAAGGAATACTGTTACATTTACAAAATTTAAAAATCGAAAGCAAATGAATATAAATCTGTACAACTTTTATTAG